CACTCAGAACAATGCCTACTGTCCTTCTGTCCCTCAGCTGCAGGCTAGATAATGCCCTTTGAAATGAGCTAATTAGAGGAGAACTTGCCTGCTGTAGATCCAATCTACCAAAACATCTCACAATCACTCATCGCAAGCTCCCAAAGTTACTCAGTTACCTTTCACAGCCTTTTTATCTCAGGTTTATCAACATACTGCCAATGTCAGATATTTTATTTGTGTATAGTACCATATTTTTTATCATGGACATTTATCATAAAGAAAAAAGCAAAGCAAAACATAGCATGTCTTAAGAAGAACACATTTTAACCACAAGATACAGATTTTTCCTTACACACATCATAGAATATCAATATTTTGAGATGGACAATAAATTCATTTGACTACACTGTATGGCATGTGGTCAACATGATGAGGCTAAGCAATGAACAGTGTAATTTCTTGACGTCCACCAAAGATAATGCCTCACAAAAGGAAAAATATCTGTTATATTTCCTCCATGTTCCATTTCCTCCGGAAATGAATAAAGACACAATATGATCATAAAACAAAATCATTGGACTTCATTTCATTCTGAACACAGTTTAAAATATTCACTTTCATACATACCTGCCTTTAACTTCTTGGAGAACCTTGTGTAAGAGACAGGATGGCGATGCGAGAAAAGGACAGGAGAGGCTGAAAGAATACATTCAAAATATCTGAAGCCCCTGGGGAGCCTTTGAGATATTTCTTTGAGCTCTGAGCACACATGCAAATAGTCCTGAGCATCAGGAAAGCTGACCGCCTGCAGGCTTCTGAGACATTTTTTTAACTGAACAATGTTTAGGCCTCCCCACATTTTTCAGTTTCAAGATATACAGTATGTACTGCAACCTTTAGCCGCTGCTTCAAAACAATTTAAAAGTCTGAAGGATTGAGACGGTCTTGAAGCAGAACCCGAGGTAATTTATCTAAAATAACAGAAAAGCCCCAAGTTCAGTCTGTGTCACAAAACCAGACTTGAGCATTAACTACAGTATATAAGAGAAAGAGCTTCACAATTACAAGAAACAATACAGGAGATGGTACCGTGTTATAATGACAATAGACTTGGACTTTCAGATTGAACCATGGAACATTAAAATAAAAAGATCATATAATAATATAGGGCAGAAATAAATGCATAGCCATGTCTACGTTTAGCTTATGTTTACCTGTGTGTTGGCAGTTTTTCTCGTTTCTGAAAAGGACTAGCATCCGAAGAGATGGGAGAAGTTGTAAAATTGTGCGAAATAAACTAGTTATGCAGGTCATTAAAAATTGAATGAAAGTGCAGACATATCAGCCTCTCAGCATTGGAGACCACTGCTCTGTGCTATGCAAGGGATCCCAAAGCAGTAACAAACGATGTCACCAGGAGTGGGTCACAGGGGTCTTGACTCAGCCAAGTTACACTTAGCTTGTTGTGTCCCAGTGAATTGCTGGACACATATAAAATGACAGCATTTTCACATAGAGCACTACAATTCCTGTGGTCAACACTACTTCTGCAGTAGACAGTGGGACAGCTAGAGTGAAAAAAGTATTCAAGCAATGCGTGTTGGAGGGAAGCATGCGTGGCCACTGTCTTCCAACATGATGTCAAAAGATGTGAATTAGCTACCCCTGCAGAAGTGGCAAAGGAGTTTCACAAAATTCTAGACTAAGCACACACCTGGGAGATTTCTTTAAATTTAGTATTGCCTGCAAGTAGCAAAAACGAAAACTGTGTCATGGGACACACAGAGCTTGAAGAAGCTAATTATGAAAAAGACTGAGGTGCTTATGTTGACCAATCATTCACATCTTCTAGACAATGGGGCAGAAAGACCTCGTTAAGAATACCGTGAACATTTGGGGCAAACATTTTGAGATATAAGAAACAGATCTTTCTGCTCTGCACTCCGTCTTGAGATGAGTGGCCAGATTAACTATTCGTGGGTTTAAAGAAATGACCTGCAACTGACAGAGTAAAAGAGCTTGATTCATTTTAGATTTGACTGAAGACTTCAAGTAGGTCTGAGTCAAGTATTCAAAATTCTCGAAGGCATTGACAAAGTCAAGCCAATGGACTTTTTCAGAATCAGTAGTCAAAAATGAACCAGATGTTGCAGGGTTGCAGAAGTTGGTAGAAGCCATCCAGCCATATTATCAATGCTGATACTTTGTTGTTTTTAAAGAAATGACTGGATCAGATTCTTGGATCAATTAGCAACCAAATGAACTAGGGAGGCCAAATGTCTTTGTTGCTGGTACAAGGGTCACACGAGTAAACCCAAAATAAATCACAGTAGTAATAATAAAAGAGATAAAACAAACAAAACAAATATTCGTTTTAATTCAAATCAATCCATTTGTTAACTGCTTTATCCAATCAGGGTCACAGGGAGCTAGAACCTATCCCAGCAAGCAATGGACACGAGGCAAGGCACACTCTGGATGGGATATAAATCCAATGCAGGGTGCACACAGACACACCCACACCAGAATTCAATTAACCTACCAGTGTGTCTTTGGACTGTGGGAGGAAATTGGAGCACTGAGAGGAAACCTACACAAATACAGGGAGAACATCCCAAGAATTGAACCCAGGACCCCAGCGCCACAAGGAAGCAACGTTAACCACTGCTCCACCATGCCAACCCTTCAACTATAGTCTATTTACAGTGAACTGTACATAGTAAAACCTTAAATTGTGTCACAGCTATGAATAGCGCTAGTTTACTACCAATAAAGAATGCATGAAAATGTGTTCTTTTATTTCTGAAAAAAGACTGCCACTTTATACTGATATATACTGAGTTTGTGGTAGCATTTATGATTCGTAATTGTGCTTGGGGTGCAAAATGAGAAATACTGTATGTGCCTCTCTCACACAACTCATGACGTCCAGTATTGGTCTCCAATAGGTTTGTTAAATACAAATGAAAGTTGCAAAAAGTTTTCTTTTTTGGCATAGCAGCAATGTTTCTGATATTCAAAAAACATCCCTTTTTTCCGGCAAATATATATATTTTTTCCATTTAGCATGTAGGTAAAAACCGCAGTAAACGAGTCCTGTAACAAAAGGCTGTTTCTTCTAAAACCATGCACAGATGCCTATCGGAGCAGTTAAAAAAAATCGCTTCTGCTTGATGACTTGCAATCCATTGCGCTGAGCTGTTTAACAGAACCAGCATGCAGTGCTTCCTGCCCTGAAGCCGTATGTCCTGAATTGCCATTCTGGTTTCAAGTATAATGAGCCAGCAAGGATGCTGCCTACTAATTGGATTCTCAATAAAACTGTCACAAACCACAAAACTAAAGCAGCTTTTTCTAGACGTTTTCCACAGTTGAGGACTATTGTTACTTTGGAGAATATGGCACTCCCTGCTATTATTCTTGTGGCGCCAAGTCAGAGAAGACAAATTATTGCATGCACTAACTAAAATAGCTAGCACAGACCTAATCTGAAGTCAGCTATCTAAATTGTGTATTTAAAAGTCAAAACAAGGAGCAGGTTAACTGTGCTGCCAATATCAGCACACAAGCTTGCTCAACAAAGGTTTCATACATCATCTCGCAGTTGCGTGTCTCTGGGTTCGCCTCTCCTAAAATAAACTTGATCTTCATGCGTGAAAACTGTACCAAAAAAACGTTTCATAACAGAATATAAATTCCATGGGAATTGAGTAATTGCCTGGCAGCTGCCATGTAAAGTGTTCTAATCAGAAAAACAAATCGGTCAAAATATACGAGCGGGTGCCAAGTTTTAGAGCACGGCCATTAAGGTTCACAACAAAATAGGAAACAAAAGCAGCAAGACGACTTTGCACAACTGCCATCAATAAAATCGTAGGGGGGGACACAAAGCAACGTTTCAACGTAAAGTTTCATCTTCAGCTCAAGAGTATTGATTGGAAATGTGGCTCTGGTTTCAGCTGTTCATGTCTGCTCCGCAGCATGTTTCTAATTTTCCTGGAACGTCTTCAGGCAGCCCACGAAAGAGAGCCATGTAAAAATCACATCCCCAAACTATATTTAAATTGCATTATACAAAACATGGCACTACAAACATGGTGATTGACATTAGAAAAATATAGTTTCAGAGTTTACTCTGCCATATCTAAATGTACCCCAGGCGTACACTGACGCGTATTTCAATTTATTGTCAGTGTCTGTTTTATGAAACCATTAGGATTAGCATTACAGTAATAGTCTTCACTTTTTTACTCTCGAGAAAAACAACAACCATATGGCAATGGTTAACAAGCAGTAGCATTAGAGGAGAAATGATTGTTATCTGCATTTAAACTTTTACTGGTGCCCTCATACTTCTTCCATTTCCTAATGTATGTTTGCTGTATCTGAGTGTTAGCAGGCTGTGCAAGAGACCCTTCAACACACTATGGCTTTAGAGATTTACCTACTGCATTAACACATTTTCATCCAATTATTTCTAACCGCTTCTTCCAATCTGGGGGTCAAGAGGGAGCCACAGCCTATCCCAGCAAGCAGCAGATGTAAAGCAGGGTAAGGCAGTTCATTGCAGGACACACGCAGACACAAATAAAGCCAGGACCAAACTTGTACCAGGGGCCAATTTTCCCAGGAGCCAATTAACCTACCAGAACTGAACCCAGGGCCCCAGTGCTGAGGCAGCAATGCTAAAATCTGCTCCATGGTACTGCCCTTGATACCCATGAACTTGAAGACACATCATATAAAAAAAAATGAAAGAAGTGCCTAAACAGATCTGCAGGTAGGGCCCTCAACCTTGGGGCCACACTGGATGGAAGCTGAGAGTCTGCTTTCTTTTGGAAAGACATGTGCCCAGGATGAACGAAACAGGGAAGGGGTTCTTTTAAAACGCTGGGAGATGTTCGTGAAGCCCGAAGGGGAAAGTTTGTTTTTAATTTAAAGCTTAAAGGCAGTTTTTCCAAAAATAGGCAATGCTGTGCAAGGGGGCTGGCGATACTAATGAAGTCCAGATGCCTTACCTTCGCTGGTAGCCGCATTCTTTGGAGCTTTTGTCGGTGTGTGATCTGTACTTGAACTCACGTCGGATGAGATGCTTGAACTGCCTTTGCCTAAACAACACAGCAGATCAGAAAATAGCATCAGCACAATTAGCAAACGAAAGGGGGAAAGGAAATCTAACGACCTTTACCAGCGATCGCCATCGCAGTGCATGCGAGAAAGCTGGTACTACGAGACTGGCTGTCACGCATTGAAAATCACAGTAATCACTCGGCATTCTTTTACTTTTAACACTAATTGCAACCACACAGAAGTCAGCGCAGCTGCATTACTGTGATGATTTGCAGTTGATCGTTGTTATCTTATTCCCAGACCAATGCTGACTGCAGAAGACAACAGCCTCACAACTCACACCCATTGCAGATGTGTAATTCCTTCCCTAGCCTCGTAATGTTTTAAGCCTAGAATCCTGTGTCTCTAAAACATGTGTCAGAGTGAAGCTTTTATGTTGTACAGCAATCGGAGGTTAACGAACCCCAGAGGGAAACAATATTAAACACACAAAAGTAGACCTCTTTCCCCAAAGTGATAATTTCGTAGTTTGGGGGGATTATTATTAAATTATCTCATAAGCAACATTAGATTTGTTATTAGCATGAAGTCCCTAGGCAAGGACTTCTCTAGGTGTTGCAACACTGTAGACCAACATTTAGGCACTTTGGTCTTTTTGATTTAACTGTGTGCTCAGATACTATATTGCCTTTGCCTTACTACATACAGTCAATGGAACTCTCCTGTAATTACATTGATTAAATAATGGTATGTCCCTAAAGGTTATTTTTACAAATCTTGTTTTTTTGCTGACACATGCTCCGAAAGAGATGCAGCTTTTGCAAGGTTGATGGAATTGGGGTAATCTGAAAACATGGAAGTGCCAATGATGTTGATCATTTCTCAGGTCATCAGTTATGAAGGGTTGTGAAACACTTGAATCATGCCATAAGTCTATAGAATTATTATATAAATGGTGTCATTTGATTATATGAACAATTGTGAACAGAAAGGAGACAAAAATAACATGCAGGTAAAGGTTTATTCCATGCTGAAAGGAAAAGAAAATAAATTTCAGCTGTGGAACCCATCCTAAAGGAAGGCTACACAGCCAAAAGTCTTTTTCTTTCGGCATGGAATAAGCTTTTACCCTTTGCTTTGCAGATGATGCAGCTACCTACTGAAAAATAAAGTTATGCATTTAATTATTTTATGGCCTATAACATCCTCTGCAGTTTAAAGTTTTCATTTTCAGGCTTCTCTGTCAGGTGGTCTGCAACCCAGCCTCCCTACACAAAAGCACATAAAACATGATATCCTCTGTGACTTTAAGCAAAACCCAGAAGAATTCTGATAGTTTCAGCTGTAATTTATAACCCTTAACTCATTGAGCTTATTGCCTTGTTTAGACAGTAAAATCCAACTTAAACCAATAAACTGTAGATCTTACCAATCAAAGTAATTTTTTGTGGCATGTTTAGCTGAAGTGGCTCAAAACTGGCCTAGGTACAAGCTGTGCTTACACAATTCTAATTCGAAATTAGAAAGTGTGCTGATGACATCCCATCAACTCCATGGAGTACAGGTTTCCCATCCCAAAAATGAAAAGATGCACAGATTGATCATACATACCTAAAAAATATAATGTATAGCTATACAAAACAATTTTCTCTTGGAAATTATCCCTAACAATAGTCAATTAAGGTATAGTCTTATTTAACACAGCAAAACATTTACAAAAGAACAGAGGTGATACACTTTGAAATTGTTTTGATTAAATTGTTCACATTTTTACACTGTACACCCATCATGAAAGCTAGGGTGAGAGCATATAATGAATATACAGTATTCAGTATTTACTCATTATTTAAACAAAGTATAAAGTAAGAAGAAGGAAAACTGAAGAATGAGTAGGTAGCATTTTAAACTTTGATTGTGTAAAACTACAAGGCAAAGCTATTTATTGATAACATTAATAATTCATTGTTATATTTTATTTCAGAGCAGCTCTATTTCAGAACCCAATTTTACAGCTGTTAATTAAGGATATTTTCTCAAATATCATGATCAGGTGAAACCTAGCATACATTTCAACATTTAACCTAGGGGATTACAGTAAAAGACAAATTATCATAACTGAACAGCAGAGAGAACAGTATGCTCTCTAAGATTGTTTTGGGAGGTGTATAGCTTGTGATAAATGCTACTTTAAACCTTACTATGTTTTTCCTATTCATGATAAGCAAAACAATATCCAATTTTAAATACTGTGGCAATTCAGCGAAGGTATTTTTTTAGGTACTAATGGATAGAAGCATGCTTTGTTTTTTAGCATAAACTGTCCTAAGGTCAGTTTGTATACAGTATATTGTACACTGCACTAAGGATGGCCTCCCTCAAAATGAACAGTATAAAAAGGTGTGAAAAGGGGATATACAATTGTAAACATTGGATTGTCTTTCACAGTCACAGTAAAGGTGCTGCTGTATAATCAGAACTACCCATCAAGAACATTGTAAGTAACTAATCTATTGCTGTTTAAGCATACTGTTTCTGTATCTCCAATGTTTTGTTCAACTCAAGGCCTGAAAACTGTCAAATACAACTTAAAACAGAAAAGGAGAAACCATATCTTAGCACAATTACTATTTTTATTTACACTTCTGTCACTGCAAATGGTCAGTGTGTGTTTGGTATATTTTTAGTTTCTTTTACAGACTTTTTTCACCACCCAAACAACTTATTTTTTTACTTTTGGCTCACACCTTGGTTTTCTTGTCTGAAAAATTATATGAAAACTTCTCCCAAGTATCTTCTTCATTATTTCTGATCACTATAATTATTGTAGGCCTTTATTCACTTTCCTGCTGAATGGCTGTTTTCAGAGTTTACAGAGAATCGGTTTATTTACTGTATGTTGACCTCATTTTGGGATCATTTCCATCAGAGGTGTATACAAAGCTACATGAGTTATTTTATAAGCAAAGAACACATCTATCATAGCCACGAAGGAAACTCCTTCTCCTGGACTGTATTTCATCTTTATTTTCCAGGAATCGATTTATCATCACCAAATCCTGAAACAAAAAGGTCAGTAACGAAATTAAAACAGCATTATCAGTTGCAGAAAGATATTAATTGAATCACAGAATCTAGGAGAGCTTGCTAGTAGAAGGACATTAAACACCCAGTGATAAAACACCAAGAAACGTGTAGCCTAATAACCCCTGACCTGTGATGTAACTTCCTCAAAACACTCCACATCCTCTGCACACAGCATGGGTGGAAAGCCTCTTCAGTAATGAGCTGGTATGCTTAAAGGGCTTTTCTTTGCAACATGTAATAAAAAAACACTTAGAGTCAATAAAAATGGCTAACAATTCCAATTAAACCCAACACAAATTTCAATAAAGGCATCCGCACCATCTCTACTGCTTATAAGACCGACAGTTTCTCTCAGAGATCTATGCAGCTGGTACAGATTACACAAATTCATGTACAACAAGTCATTTTAAACAGTGTATTTTGCTTGGACTGCAATTTCTGCTCCATAAAGCAAGTAATATAGACAATCACATGCTTTGTTTTCTTCTGTTAACCCTATTCTGCGGTCATAAACCACACTTTCTCTCCCTTGACTGGTTACCTTATGCTGGATGTAGATGAGTTCCAGGGACAGAGAACGCAAGATTGTTTTCTTAAAAATGACAACGTAAATAATTAATATGACACTGTTTTAATATGGATGCGGCAAAGTACGTGATCTTCACATGTTCTCTCCAGCTGAGTTTAGAAATGCAAAGTGAAAACCAGAAAAGGAAACCGTTCTTTCTGACTTTCTGTCGTCAGTAAGCAATTGGATTTAAAGCCAACAATAAAAAATCAACAGTCTCATCAAACAAGTAAACCAAACAAAAACAGCACCAAAAAAAGGCAGGAAAAGATTTGACTCACAGTACCCTAACATGTGACAAAACACTTGCGTGTGAAATTAAACGAGAATGCGTTTAGATTTTCAGGACCCTTTGAGACATCATTTTGCTTTGGCTTCATTTTTCTTATTAACAAGTGTGAAATAAACATCTACCAGATGCCAAGATGAATAAGTCAGTTTATGGCATGGTAAATTTTTTTCAAACCTTCCACCCTCAATTAAGGTTTTTATTTTGTAATTTCCATAATCTTGTCCAAAATGGCTCCCATATGAATCTTTTAATGTTCAACACAACAAGTACCTCCTCTTGAAGCTTATTCTGCTTTGCATTTCATAGGTTATATACTGCTATAACGCAAATCCTTATTCAACTGTCACAACAACTGTATAAGTTAAAAACACTCTTCCAAACTACACAGAAGCTTAACCACAATAAACTGGCACAGAGTTGGCACCATGAGATACAATATCTAGAGCTCATATGGAGTTATTCTGCCCTGTAACTGGGGATGTAAAATGAACATGATTTTACGGCTAATCTCAAGTTCTCTGATGTGTACGCTCCTCACAGATTTGGTATTTTTGGTGACACAAGGGGAAAAGCTTGGTCGCCCTGGCAGAGTGAGGGTGCTCTGTAATTGAGTCTCCCATTTTCCCAGCCAGTATGAGACAGCTACCACTCCCCACCACTGATATCCAGGAATCTGGTATTCAGTCACCCTCTTCCATAAGGAAGAGGTTCACAAAACACATACAGCATTGTAGAGGCCATGCACTCTGGTCAGGACAATATCATTCCAATATACTGTTACAGTATGTACAGTAATCCTAACAACTGCCAGGGAAAATACATTTGAAGATACTGAAATGCATTTTAGCAATAAGCACCTGGATTTAAACCCACTTGCTTTTACTGTATTATAGGCACATTTTGATATACATTTATATATCACATACTAAATTACAGACAATCAGAATGTATGTATAATACTATTTTTGACTTGTGCCTCAATTATGTTGCCAGCCCCCACAGCTCACACTCAAAATCACGAGTTCAAAACTCCCATTACAATTTTCCAGAGTTCCAAACACAACCTTAAGAAGTCAGAACGATCATCACGAATC